TCAACTGGACAAATTAAAAGAAGTTAGAGAACTTTCACCTCTATAACAAGTAATGAAAAACAGCAAAAGCCCCACATCTTTCCATGGAGTCCATACTAGCTTGTGAACTTACTATGTAGCTGTGAATTCTAATTTTCCTCCCTCCAACCCCTAAACACTGGGATTACAGATGTGTGACACCATGTGCAGCTTTTTTTAAAAAAAAAAAATTGTTGATGAGACAGGGTCTCACTCTGTTACCTAGGTTGACCTGGAACTCTCTATGTGGAGTCTAGCCTGGCCTTGAATGCACAATGATCCTCCAGTGTCAGCTTCCCTAATGCTGGGATCATATTAGGAGTGAGCCACCACAGCCTCCTGAAAATTATACTTTAAAAAATATTTTTTGCCAAATGTAAGAAGTTAAAAAACACAGGGATGACAAAAACCAGGGAGAACATGTCCAAAAGAGATTATACACTGAACAAAATCAAAGGTCACTGTGAGGTGGAAGGTTCTGGAAAGTCTGCACCTCTTGGGGTTCTGAAGAAGGTCTGGAGGATAAGGGGAGCAGTGGGCACATCTTGAGGTTGATCATAGCAGAAGACAGGCCCTGGGAGTGGTCTGGGAGATGGTGGGAAGATGAGCTGAGGTGGAGCGAGCACAGGAGCCCAAGGGAAATGAAGAGCAGTAGTCTTTAAGTCTATGGAACCTGAGGCACTCCTAGTGCCCAAAGCGGGTGGGAGCCAGGGTGTCCTCTGAAGTTAAAATGTATCTGTATGTGAGTTACTCAATTTGTTATTCTCCTCCATTACTTCATGGCTAACTAACATGGTGAATGAGGAATTTACCTGACTTGATCCAAACAAATCATAGTACGCAAATGAACTGCACTAAAAAGCAGAAGGAAGAGAGCTAAGTGTTAGTCTCAAGTACAGCAGAGGGCCCTTTGGCACAGAGCACAGAAAAAGTGGCCCCCCTTCTGCAACCCCGTATCTGGCATTTGGTCATTATACCTTGATGACTTTTCTTCTAAATATGGTTCTTGTTTACCAGCTTCTTTCTAGTATGGCCACCAAGACCTAGTGCAAGCTTACATCATCGCTCCTCACTACAGTGCCTTCTCCCTCCCAAAAAATGAAATGGAGCATTAGCTGATGTTGCTTTCTCTTCTGTTGGTGAGGTGCTTCTTGCAACCCAAGGCCCTGCCTCACCAGCCAGCTGCTGCTCACACTGGGCCTTGAACCTGCTTCTCCAGAGACATGCTCCAGGAGACCCCTCGGTATTAATGAAAATTCCCAAGTAGAATATGATTTATAAGCTCCAAGGTGATTACAGTGCTGGCTTGATGAAATCTCTTTATAGATAAAGAAAACATGACATTTATGTTTAAAATGGACATCAAGTGTCCTTACAGCACAATACGATTACATAAAGAAAAGATGCGGGCCGAGTGTAGCATGCATGTGGCAAATCTGTGCAGGCCAGTCTCCACCTTTGGAAGTCACACGTTTGAAGAGATGACTCCCTCAGGTTGGACCACCAGGACAGTCATGACAGAAATGGTGATAGAAAAGATCCAGATTCCACTAGATGCATTTTTTTCTAGCAACTTTTTTTTCAAATTAATTAACCACAAACACTGGCAAGATATGATAAACACAGAGCTCATTTCCTGGTGGCCCAGACTTGGTTTGCTCTGCCTCTAATTTTAGTTTAATTTTCATAGGAGGGATTTCCTTTCCAAATCATTTTGTCACTCTGGCTCTGAGGTCCATTACAAATATTCCCACTAGAAGATTTAATAAGCTCTTGATCTCAACGACTGTCATTGTCACTGCTAACCAATTTGAGTTGACACAAGAGAAAGTCTGGCATAATGATTCAAATAACTCAGGTATGGTGGCTCAGGGCTGTAATCCTAGCACTTGGGAGGCTGCAAAAGAGTGATCACTGTGAATCTGAGTCCAGCCTGGACTATATAATAAGTCTAGGGGCAGCCTAGTCTATATAACAAGATTCTGTTTCAAATAAACAAAAGAAGTAATTTTTTAAAATAAGTAATTGTTTTACAAGTGAGAAATAGTACATTTCATTCAGAGCTAACACTCATGCTTTTCATCTGTTTTAAAAAATATATCTTGATTTAAATTAGGTCTGACTGAGTATGTTTAAGGTTCACTTTCCACCATAGCAAGCCTCTACACTTCCTGACGAGTCTTATCTGAACACTCTCACGCTAAGTCCCATCTCCCTTATCCTGCTGCTCTGTTTTCCCCATCCATTTGCCTCTGTCCTCTACAATAGTTAACACTTGGTATTTCTAGGAAACCAGCAGTCTAAGAAATTTGTTTTAACCACCCCATTTTACAGGTAAGGAAGCCAGATACCAAAAGATGAAGGAGGGGCCAAAGCGTGCCCTCCTAGCAGTGGTGGGGCTGGGATTTGGCCTCCAAGGCCTTGGCTGAAGCATCCACAGCTGCAGGGGCTGCTCTGCCACTCTCAGGGCCTCTGGATGTCTTCTCATTGCCCTCCTCTTCCCTTCTTGTTTGACAGTCTCCCGAGGTTGCCCAGGCCAGCCTCATGTTCTCTAGGATCCTCTTCCCTTGGCCTCCCAAAAGCTGGGATCCCTACACCTGACTCTTCTCTCCCTTCCTGTATCCCACCCACCTCATTTTCCACCTCAATTGTGTTGTAAAACATCTACTCGACATTTGGAAGGCAGCGGCAGGAGAATCAGGAGTACAAAGCAAGTTTTGGCTACAGGAGATATGTATCAAAAGAAGAAAGACAAAAAAAGGAAGGAAATAGGACCTTGGTAAAGCACACTATGTCTGAGGTTCCAGAGAAGACCCGCCCTGAATGTTCAAAGTACCATGCCATAGGCTGGGAGCCATCACGGATTAAAAAGGGAAAAAGGATAAAGCCAGCTGAGCACAGCAAAGCCCCCACCTCATGCATGCACTGTGTGAAGCCACCTCATGCCCCTGCTGCTCATGCCCCTGCTACCATGCCTTCCCTGACAGGATGGACTATTCCCTGAGGCTGAGCCCCTGTCAGACATGTGGTCAGAGTAACCAAAATGTAACGGATATGCACAACCTTGGCTCAAACTTCTGATCCTCTTGCCTCATTTTCCTGCTTGCTGGCACTACAGGTGGGTGCTATCAGGCCAGCAGACTGTGTTGGCTTTTTCACTGTCTAAAACGCAGGTGCTCAGGAAATACTGCCTGTTCGAATGGGCTCCTTCTAGATGCTCTGTACCTCTCTCTCCAAGAGGCTCTAACCTGAGCTGCAAGGCCTGAGTGGTTTTGATAGTCACATTCTGGACTCCCCATTCACTGCCTACATCCTTTACTAACTTTATTTGACCTCCCTTCAGTTGCCCTGACCCTGGACTCCTCAAATGACTGGTAAATAGTCACTAAATTAATGAGTCTCTTCCTCATCAGCGCTGAAGCCATACACCAAGCAGTCTAATGACGAGATGGTATCCTAGAAACTACTGTTGACTAAACCAAAAACTTTATCTTTTGTGAACCGGCCATGGATATTTCCTAACTGCTACTTTCACTGTTTTTAAATGCATGAAAACTGTATGTGTGTGGAACTAAGTCTGGTATACATTCAATGTTTAAATGATTTAAAGACATTATCATTATTTGCATAGGTAAAAAGCTTAAGGGGCAGTGATTTGTTAGGGGGCAGAGAGTTAAAATGCTAAACTGTATGGGACTCAGCTCTCGCAAACCACACTGCATTGTCTCCCTTGAACAATCTTAAATAATTATTATGGCATAAAATAGAGCATAAATTAAGAACTTCCAGACTTTTACAATTAAAGCAAAATCCCTAAATTAACATTCACTTAAGGAGACGATATCTCTGACTTCTCCAGAAGTCATGAGAGTGTTCTGAAAAGCTGGTAACTTAAGAGAATCATTCTTTATCAAGTACATATTAAGTGCACTTGCTAGGTGTCTGAGCTAGATGCTGAACCATGAGTGAGTCAGTCTTCTCATACTTGTAGGTAGCAAAGAAATCAGGCAACATAGAGACAAGGATGGGGAAGTGAGCGCACTGCCCTACAAAGGCAGTCCATTCTCAGCAGCGTGAGAACAGTTGAGACAGCCCCAGATGTGGCATGGACCACATTCTGTGCATAGATAAGATGGAGTTTGTGTTGGCTAACCAAAGACTGGAAAATAGGGAAGTGGGGAAGATGAGCTTCCAGTAGGAAAGGAAAATACATCTTGGCACTTAAAAAATAAAAAAAATCAAAAAATAAAAGATGTCAGTCTAACAATGGTGAGCAGGTGGATTGGATGGATAGGGACAGACAACAATCAGTAATGCTGTATATATATATATATATATATATATATATATATATATATATTCAGTTTAACCAAGGGACTGGTGGAATCTGAGATAGCTTTGTAGAAATGGTTTTGTAGAAATGAAGTGGTGTCCAGGATGTGGTTTTGGGAATGTAGATAGTGGTAGTACCCATAGGAGTCCAAGGATAGTAGGGTATGGTGGGGTAGGGTTGCATTGAGAGTCGCTAAACAACTGCAGCTGGGTGCTGGGTGCTGGGTGCTGGGTGCTGGGCTCTGGCTAAGGAGAGCTTTCTATGTGATGAAGACTTTCTTCACATCTGTAACAGAAGTTACCTAAAGGCAGGCACTGAAGTGGAGGTGAGCAGAGCCCACTCTGTAAAAGGAAGGCAGGAGTGTGCTGTTCAGAAAGATCATAAGCCTCCAGAGGCATGAGAGCTGACTGACGGATACCAGCTGTTTACCCATACCAGGTCCTTTGCTCCTGGAAGCACCACGCAACGCGGAACTCACCTCTCAACACACTCTTCAGCACAAGCTTATCTACTTTGAGGCAGGCTCTGGCTGACTGACCCCAAGGCTGACATCGCCCCTTCACGGAAAGTCCCTGTGGATGGCCTCGGGAAAGGGAGGTTCCCCAGGCGGCCTTGGGCATAAGGACACCCAACTTCCCTCACCACTCACCGCTCAGGAAGGCGGCCCCCCTTCAGGCCAACCTCAAGCCATCTTCCTCATCCTGCTTGCTGCAGAACCCGAGCGAACTCAAACCAGCTCCCTCACTGACACCTGTCGGTTTTTCAGTCAATTCCTTTTCTGGCCCTGAGGGACTGAACCAACGCTTACACTTCTTCCTCCACAGCCTCGGGCGCTCAGCCAATTAGGAATGACAACGCTGCAAGGTAGAGTAGCGCCATAGCGACGGGCGACGCCTACCCGGCTACCTTAGCAACCAGAAACCGCGCGGTGAAGCTCAGGGTGCGTGGACCTAAACTTGTGTGCTGTATCCTAGTCAGAAGAGGCTTGGAATCCAAAATAGTTTATCTCAGGTGCTTCAAGAATTATTATGGACTGCAAATCAGTTCTCAAAGATTAAAGGGGGAAATGAAGCACGTCACATGCTCGGTTTCTGGGTTTGGGGGTTGAGAAGGACTTGGAAACTGATTTGTGGGCCAGGCAGGACCAGAGCTCTAAGACCGCCTGCTTAGTATCTCTTAGATGCACAAAATCACTTCAAGCTGCTACCGCACAATACATGTCTCAAGCAGAAAATCCTGAGACAACACGTTCCCCAGGCACAAGGACTTTCTATCAGACTCCTGTCACCAGATCATTCAGTGGCTTTGCAAAGTGACACAACTTTTTAGAAAGTCTGTAGAGATTTTTTTAAAATAAAAATTCGAGTTGCATTAAAATCACCTTTAAAAAGGCAAAACATAGAGCCTTTGAAAGTACCAAAGGTTGATTCTTGGTGAGCACAAGTCCTAAGATGTCATTTCACCATTGTCCAGAGCTGTGAACAAGAAATGACAGTGACTTCGGATGTGGCCTTGACAGCGCCCTCAGGTGTAGTGCCCTACCCACAAGCACTAGAATACTGGGGTGTGGGGAACTCAGCACTCAGTAAGTGGAAGCAAGAGGATCAGGAGTTTGCAGACAGCCTGGGCTGAGACACCGCCACAAAAAACTACATCAAAACCAAGTTTAACATACAGAAATTGTAAAGTACAGTTCTACACCGGAAGTGAAAGCACGGGAGAGGAAATGCAAACTGAGGCAAACACAGCACTAACTCCAGGGCATGAAACCCTCAGGGTTTTCTTTTTTTTTTTTTTTTTCCCCCAAATAAAAGCCAAAAAGGTCATGGGGCGTAAAGCTAGAGAAGAACAGAAAATTATTTTTGTAAACTCCTAATTACCAAACAGGGAGCTAAAGCAACTAGCTGAAGATTGACTTGTCTTTGGTGGGATACCAAATATGCTTTCCTATCTTTCTACTTCTCCATAAAATAAGTGTGAATTTAATACTTTGACCTTCCATGATGAGTCATCAATGTTTGCTCCATAAAAGAGAGCATGACACTCTGGCTCTGGAAGACAGAGTGCAGCCCAAACTGTGTAATAGGACTCATGACCCACTAAGGCCAAAGATCGGTGATCAGCCCCAGTGTAAGGACCCAGGCTGTGTGATGTGAATCCATGACTCTACAAGGGACAAGTCTGAGGCATTCTGTGTATCCCAACAATTCAGCTCAATCCTAGAACACTTACCATTTTTTTTTGTTCCTGTTTCTTTCCTTTGCTATCTTGAAATGAATGTCTAAACTACATAAAGTAAAATGTATTGAGTCCTAATTATAGCCTAAAATAAGCAGACTGGAGAGATGACTCTGGTTAAGAACATTTATTCCTCTTGCAGGGGATAAGAGTTCATTTCCCAGCATTGACATCAGACAGTTTACAACTGCCTATAATTCCAGTCTGGGGAATCTGACACCCTCTTCTGGTCTCAGTGGGCGCACACACACACACACACACACACACACACACACACACACACACACACACAAATAAAAAAAACTAAAAGAAAAGAAATAAAGGCAAATTAAGCTTACACCAAGATATTTAGGATCAATTCAAGACAAAACTGCATCATACATTTCTGAAAATATCAGGTGTGCCCAACCTGTGGCCCACAAGCCACAAGTGCTACAGGATTGACATCAATGCAGTCCAATATAAAATAGCAAACTTAACAACATTATGGAAAGAAAATTTCGTGTGTTTTTGGTAGGGTGAGGTAACTTGATACTTGAGTGTATAGTTCTCAAGTATGTACTTAGTAGATAACATAGTGTCCCAATGTCAAATGGTTGGTTGAACACACTTTCAAGACCCATGGCCTATTAAAACAAAAGGTGTGTGTGTGTGGCCTGCGTGCGAGAGAGAGAGAGAGAGAGAGAGAGAGAGAGAGAGAGAGAGAGAGAGAGAGAGAGAGAGCAGAGACATACACACACACACACACAGATGTTGCACGAATCCTAAATGGTCTTATAATAAAAACCCAGAGCCAGATATCAGGGTGAAAGCTGAGAGATCAGAGAAGCAGAGCAAGCCACAGCCAACACCTCTTATTTCACCAATTCCTCAGCTTCTCCAGTGTAACCCAACGTGGCCTAGAACTCAGAGATCCAGACGGATCTGGGCCTCTGCCTCCCGAGTGCTAGGATTAAAGGTGTGTGTCACCACTGCCTGACCTCTATGTTTGTGGCTTGTTCTGTCCTCTGATCTTCAGGCAAATTTGTTCAAAATATCACCACATACTGACACACACACACACACACACAGTGTGAGAGCAAAAGAGGAAGAGAGAAAGAGACAGAGACAGACAGACACACACACAGAGACACAGACACATGGGGGGGGGTTGTAACAGGAATAAGATTGATCCTGAAGTCGATGCAGACCTTTAGATGGGCTTTGAAAGAAAAGCAAAAGCAGAAAACATTGTGCAAACACGGGGAATGTCTCCATTACAAGCACAGGAACAGCAGGCCCACCACAAGGAAAGCAAACTCAAACTCAGACCAGGCAGGCAGCAAGCAGTCCTGAGTACGGAGTGCCTTCCTGGTAAACAGTGGCAACAACAGGCTAGTATGGTAAGTGTAAATTCTCTCTCAACTGTAACAGAACACTCCAAAGCCATAAACATTTTTCTTCATCTCACTCTCACAGCTTAAATTTACAATGAGATACAAGAAGGCTCTCAATTTGGAAAACAGGAGCAAAGTGTTACACGCAGCAACAGGAAAACAATCAAAATCAAAATCAAATTAGCCAAAAGAGAAACAAGCCTTGAGCAGAGGTCAGTGTTACCAAGAAAATGGTAATACAGTACACAGTACAAGTGTCTAGGTTTAAAACTCAAGGGAAAATTGGGCAAGCTTTTGAAAGGAATGCTATCTTCAACATTTCCTAACTATAAAATGCCATCATTTTCTTTTTCTTCTCCTCTTCTTTTCTCTTTCTCTTCTACATGAAGAACTGGGAAGCAGGAAGCAGAAGGCACTCACTCCCTTCTTCCCTGTCCCTAGCTTAGACTTGCAGCTCTCCCAATAACAGAGTAAAAACAACAGCCAACAATTTGCTATGTAGACTTTTATTGCTCTTTCAATTTTCAATAACATCTACAAAAAAATAGTTTTCTCTAACAATTAGGAAACAAATGTGAAAGGCAGGATGGTTCACATTATAGACTTAAGTAGAGACTTTTACTTCATATAGATGAAAAATATCAGGTCTACAATTTGTTTAATTGACTTTGGATTTTATTACAAAAGAAAATACCATTGCAATTATAATAAACACCATAAAAATTGTAACTAGATTGGGAAATCACACCAATATCAAATATTATATAAATGGACAACAAATTTGAATTTTAATTTAATTCTAACATAGTAAACACTGGAAGACACTTTACCCCTAAAAAGCTAAAAATTTTGAACAAAGGAACAAAAGAAAAGCTACACAGAAACAATCAATGTGCAAAAATATGATTAAAAAACATAAAACTGGGGCTTAAATTATAAGTACGCATTAAAACTTTAAAATAATCTTTACAAGATTTTATTTGACAATTTACTTTCCAGAAAGTTAAAAGGGACCTTGCAATTAAAATGAATAAATCTTGTGATTGGAACACTATTTGAAAACTTGAATGCAGTTTGTCTTTAAATTTACATTCTAAAAATAAATAATTGTTGGACTAAATGAAGACAGTTTCACATATTGGCGCTACAAATGATAACAATGATGAAACCTACATGAATACATTTCAGACACATAAATTACTTAATATAAACACATTTGAACTACAATGCTGTATTGATGGCTCACGTATCCCATTCTGAGCACTTTGTCAGGATGCAGATTCTGAGCTGCTGAGCGGTGCACACTCATAAAACCTAAACAGGAAGCTCTGGTGTGACACCTCACTGTCAGAGACCATTCTTTCTGCAGAATTTTGAACCTGCCTTTGTGAAAAGGAAGCCAGAAAGCTTACACTCAAGCCACATCTTTCAGTGTGTGGAAGAAACAAACACTTTGGGGAATGGAGAAACAAGAGTTAGTGATTCTCAGCAGTAAACAAATCGTAATAAATACATGCATTAGCACACAAAAACATTTCATCCTACGTGTCTTATAGAAAGCTTGGCAAATCTGAACATTGGTACGCCACAAGTTTAAAAAAAGTTAGGAGAGTTAAGAGTGATTTCATACACATATACAAACACTCACACAATGTTTTAAAAACCTTGTACTTCACTTTTGCATATCTAATATTATTAAAAATATATATATAGAATCACCCCTTTAGCATCAGGAAGCTAGTTTACTGTTTTCTCAAAAGCTCCTACTTTAGATTGAAACAGCAATACAAAGGAAGTAAATTTCAGATAGTTAACACCAGGATTTATTATAGTCTCTGTAAACACACTCTACAAATAAATAAAATATGGTGGAGGGAAGAGTATCCTGAGGTGGCTCCATGGCCATGGTGTTCAGTAGCACTAAGCTCTACTCTGAAAATCAAGGCATCTAAGAAAGTGCAGGGCTTTTCTCTGAATTTATTTTGTAAATGGGTATGTACAAGTTTAATTATTTTGCACCTTGAGGTAAATCAGTACATAGCAATTACTACTGCTCATATACACCTATTTAAGGCAGCATTTAAAAATCAATATATATAGTAAATTATCTCTCTTGCTGTCTTGCAATGAGTGTTATTCATGATTGTTATTTTCAAAAAAAAAAATAGCACAAGAAATGTAACCATCTGAAGGAAG